TTGGTGTTGTTCAGGCCAGCAGGTGGCATGATGATTGGGGTGCTGAACTCCAACATGTCAACCATGATTCAAGTCTTGGACCTGACTCCTTGCTTTCTCACTTTTCCCCTGTCTCTCTCTGATGAGAGCACATGCCCTATAACAGAAGAAGAAGGAGAAGGAAAAGGAGAAGAGAATAAATAAATAAATAATTCTTTAAAAAATTAAGTCTTGGTGTTAAACTTTCTTGGTCAGTTTTCACTAGATTTTTATTACTATATTGAAATAAGTCTTTATTTATATTAGAAAAAAACTTCTTGGGTTATAACTTTGAATATTTGCTCTAATCCATTTTTTTATTTCACTTTTTTCTTAAGGGATTCTAACTATAGGGATATAGGATCTGCTTGGCCTATATGTTAAAAAATTTAGCTTTCTGTTTGCTTCATTTAATTCAGTTTTATTATTTCTATCTTCCACATACCTTGCTGAATTTTTTGTAGCATCTAGTGTGTCCTGTGTTCTTTCTACCCATTGGCCCAAATAAACGCCATTATCATTTACTGAGCAACTCACACGCATGATTTTATTTAATCCTCATAAAAACCTGTGAAGACATTATTCAGAGATCTTTACAAATGAGATATCTGCACCTAGGAGGTTAAGAATCTTGCCCAAGGCCCTAATGCCAGGAAGCAGTAGAGTCCATGTTGTAATAGACAAAGCCAGAGCTCACTGACCAAGCACTAATGCTGCTGAATATTTTACAATAGAGGAAGGTTCTCTAAAATGCCTGTAAAACTGTACTTGGGGTGGGGCGAGAGACAGACAACAGACAGGTGTTACCAGCAAGGAAAGACTGACAGAAAAAAAAATGAATTCAATTTTATTAGTTAAGTCCACAGATGAAAACTACATGGGCATGGGAACCAGCAGTTAGCGCAATGGCTATGTCGCTGGACTCCCATGTAGCCGACCGCGGTTCGCGTCCCGGACCCGGTGGCTTAAAACTCATGCCGGGTGCGTGTGCGTGCGTGCCCAAGATCCCGAGAGGAGAAAGGAGGAGAAGGGATTGCGGCGTGACCATCCCCCTGGGGGGGTGATTTCTCGCTTTCTGTCTCTATGTCTCTCTCTGTCTGTCTGGCGAGTGCACGGGTGCCCTATAGTGAAAATCTCAAAAAACAAAACAAAACAAAACAAAACAAAACAAAACAAAACAAAACAAAACAAAACAAAAAAAAACTGCATGGGCATGACACAGGACTCCCACCTTCAGAAGGGCCCACACCTGGGGTTTAAAGCTTCTTTGTTGTCCTTTTGAAATTCTTCATAATTTTATCATGGAATTTCTATTTTGTAAGTGAAGCCCAATGGGACAACATAGCATGTATGTGGAGTCTGGAGTCTCAGCTCATGCAAGGTACCACCACTCTCACAAACAGGCCCCTAGTCATCTCTATGACCCTGTTTCCTGGCTCCGAGCGTCCACCAGCTTCTCTCAGGTGACTGTGGCTGCCTTTGACCTCAGCAGGGGCATGAGTGGTAAGATCAGGTTTGTGGTCCCTGAAGTGTCCTGGGGAAGAGCATGGAGGCAGCCAACCCAGTACCTTTGGTGGGGGACTCTGTAGAGGCTAAGTCTTGCCCATCCCCAACCCTCGTACAGAGGTTGTAATGTACCTGGAAGTCACCCGTCCTCCCTGGCAGTAGGCCTGTGCACAGAGGAGAGGCCTGCCTCAATTTCTCTATCCCTCAGCCAGGGCGCAGAGTATGTATGTATGTATGTATCAGCCAATGGCTAGAGAAAAGGAGAATCCAGCAACTGGTGGACTGTGCGTGCACTGCATCACAAAGTGGAGATCCAGGCACCTGAGAGGGTTTGCACTTGCCCCATGAGTGTCCCCATAAATAAATAAAATAAAAAAACAACTAGACAGGTTGAGAGAAGTACTACAGAAGGAATCAGAGCACTTTATATTTGTACTTTCTTTTTCTCTTTTGTTGGCTAGAGGGCACATGCACTCACCAGAGAGAGACACAGAGAGCGGGAGAGGAAAAAGCACCTCCATTCCATGGAGAATGCTCAGCTGCCATTCCTTCTTTTTCATGTCTCCCTCCTTTCAGGGTTTTGGACATGCATACCCACACACACTTGGAGTATTTCTCAAGGCACCAGGTCCCGGACTGATACCACATGGTTAGCCATGTGAGAGCTGGCTGCCTTAGTCATCAGGCCATGGAGCCAGCACTTTTCATGGCACTTTTCTTACGCTTTTTGAACAAGAGCTGCTGCACTTTTATTTTGCAGCAGGCCCCAAAAACCATGTAACTGGTCCTGAACATAGTAGATTGTAAAGGTTTGGAGTTACAACCCTACACATTTGAAGGGTGATAATCATACCCTTCCACAAAAGGTCACTTGGAACCACGGTCAAGGCCAGGATCCTGGATGATCGCTTAAACACTTACAGATACTTTGTTCAAGTTCTCCAAGTCCCACTCTTGATATTCTAGTCAACAGACCTCTTATGTTTTATATCACAAATAAAACTGGAGAGCTACAAAGAATACAAGAGGAACAGTTTCAACTTTTCTTGCATTTATATTTAAAACATGAGACATCTGTTTTAATCATGTAAGAACTTCCAAAGCAATCACCTTGGAAACTAAGAGAATATGATCATTAAAATTAGCCAGAAGCAAATACTCTCCAGAGCAGTCAACCTAGTTATAAAAGCTTTATATTACCTTTAGAGAGGAAATTTCTCCAGCAACCATAATAAACATAAGGCAAGGGAAAGAAAGGTCCACTGTAGAATTTCTAAAGGGAGGCATAAAATCAGGGTAAAAAATCATTTTATTATTCATTTGGAATAATGCGTGCCTAATGTATTTAGAGTAGGTCACACACAAAAAATACAAATTGCTGTAAGCACATAAAAAATGAACCTGAAAAATTCCCTGCACACTTGTTTTTTTATTTTGGGGGGAAAAATAGGTGTTTCATTGCAGTAAATTGATATGCTAGATGAAAATTCAAGTTTTTTTCTTAATATCTTCTTCCTTTAAGTACCATAGCATATGAGTCCCTTCAGATTGGAATTCGGCAATCTGAAATCATTCCACAAAACTACTAGCAGGGTTTTTCCTAAAACATGAGTCCCTTCAGATTGGAATTCGGCAATCTAAAATCATTCCACAAAACTAGTAGCAGGGCTTTTCCTAAAACTTTATTTGTCTCTTCTTCCTAGCAAAGCTGTAAAACATATTTTGCTTTCTTTCACATTTCCAAGAATTATACCATTTTTAATAACACCATTTTAAAAGGAATACAGGGGAAAAACCCTAGAAAATTTTGGCAGAAATGAAGACAATAAAATAAACAAGTATCTGGATATTCTTAGTAGTTGTAAGAAGAGACAAATAGCACAAATTGCTAGCAATGTAAATACCAAAAAGAGAACAGAATTTTCTTAATCCTGTCAAATCACATCTTCAAAGTTGGAGAAATTCTCCTAGAAAAATTAAAGAGGTAAATGAATCATTTAATAAGTACACACTATTTCTCACAAAATGTTACAGTTCTCTCTACTTTTTTTTCCCCCTACAGGGTGCATCCACTCACCAAAGAGAGGTAGAGAGACAGACAGGTAGAGGAAAAAGTAATCCACAGGGCAAATGTTCATGCCAAAATCCTTTATCCTCCATCTCCCCTCCGTTTTAGATTTGGGGCATGTACACAAATGCACCTGGTGTGTACCTCAAGCTAACAGGTCCAGGACTAGAACTATATGGTCAGCCAGAGGTGATTCAGCTCCTTAACCACCAGCCACAGAGTTAGTCCATCTTTTTCTCTTATTCAAAGCAAGAATATCAAATATATGACAGATACATAAGAGTAAGAAAAAGATACATGGATTTTGTGAGTTGCTTTGCTTTCTATGGCCTTATATTGAGTCCTCTATCTTTCTCTTCCTCTTTTTCATTCTTAAGAAGATATTGACCTACAGTGGTTGTAGAGAGGAGGGGAGTGCATCTTTACTCCTACTTCCTCTTCCCTGCTAGACTTTTCCCACTCCTAGTCTGAAATTTTACTCTCACCATTTTCTTAAAGAATTATTTCACTTAACTTTAACTTATGTATTCAAATTTGACCAGAGAGGGACAGAGTGAGACGAAAAAGAGAGAGGAAAATCAAATTTGACCAGAGAGGGACAGAGTGAGATGAAAGAGAGAGAGGAAAAATGAGAAAGAAAGATCCGGGATTCGAACCACAGTCAGTCATGTGGGAGTCCAGAGCCCTTAACCACCACACCACCTGCCAGCCCCTACTCCCACCATTTTACTCCCTTTTCTCTTATATTCCATAGTCAACTCGTTTTTTCATTTTTAACTCTTCTAACTTTAGTCCTTCAATCCTTCATGTTGCAGCTCATTTTTTGTTAAGTTATGCCTTCTTGTTGTTGTTCATATTTGCCTGTTTATTACAGTTCATTGAATATATAGACCACACAGCAAATGGTTCTTTTTTTTACACATACACATAAATCATATTCTCTTTTTTTTTAAGAGAGATTTTTGTTATAAGACATGTGTGTTCACCAGAGAGACAGAGACAAAAAGCGAGAAATCACCCCTAGAGGGGATGTTCATGCATCAATCATATACTTTGGTTCTATTCAATCATCTGCAAAGTTACAATCAGCCCTTTTCTGTATTGCTCCATGCCATATGAGATGAAAGGAGGCTAATTAGACTAATCACTACCTAATCAACATGGTTCTTTACAATCGAGCTTCTAAAATCAACGTGAGAGTCAGTGAACAAGTCTGGAACACACCCACCCACACTCAGTTCCTGCTGTTTGAATAAGACTGCACCAGTTACATTCTTTCTTAGAGCACACTTTCTGGCACGAAGCTAGGCAAACGTTGATTCCCAAAACCAGGAAAGAAGGAACTGAATGACAGAAGGCTGAGAATGGTAGTTGGGGTAATTCCTACCCACGGGGAGAATAGGCATACCTTTGTGATTGCTGTGAAGACCTTTTCCAGGATGGCATTTGGCTGGGCAATCTGCGGTCCATTGGCCTGAATGTTGAGGGCTATGGCACATGGTTTGGCTATAAATCTGAAAATAAAATAATAAAAAAGAAAAGCAGAGAGTCAGAAGGGACTCTTTCGATAGTTGTTCTCCATTCTGCCAGTTACACAGTACCCAGCTGTCCCAGGAAGTGCTGGTGGGACCTTAGGCATGTATATTGTCTGCATTCACATTGGTAACCAGACAGCAGCTCAACTGTATTTCTCTCCTTTAGTCCCCAAGAAGTAATATTTAAAATGACATCTTTTTAAAGCAGTTAAACTCCCTGATCCTCAAGTTCAGATGAAAATATAAGAGTACAAGATAAGAGATATATAAATAAAACAGATACACAAGATAGATAAATAAAACAGATAAGGATTTTTTAATTATATAACCTATACTCTTCTTATAATACAAGACAATAGTCACATTTTTACTAGAAAAAGTGTTTCCGAAGAATAATTGCACGTGCACAGAGAATGCTTTGGTTGTCCCCAGTCATGAACGTAGTCATATTTCTTCTCTGCAATTAAAGCGCACTATATTCAGTTCCTGTCCCTCTGACTTTGTAAAATTCTCTGCATTGTGATTATTCACTTCTTTCTCACCAGGAGGAATGAAAGATGTCAAGTAGTGTGATGCCCCAAAGGAGAGGAAAAGTCTGAAGTACTTCCTAACATCTGCAGAACGGTTTCTATCCCAAGCAAACACTTATGTCAGGAAGAGTGGGAATATTGGGCCTCATTTCCAGTCGTGTTTGGAGTGTGAACAAGGCACTGAAGGAGAGCAGATGAGCAAATGAGACCCCAAAGGTATGATGACATCTTCAGTAACACTTGAAGAGTTGAAGAATTATTTTAGAATAATTGCTCAAAAAAGAGGTCTTATAAAAATTCATTTTCAGTAGTGACATTTAACATTTCTATGAAATAATTTAATATCCTCTGACAGCATCACCCAAGTTAATTCAAAAGGTTTCAAATGATAAATGAATAAAACAGATCAGACATAAATCTAAGGTGAGCTTCTCTAATGATTGGTGACAAGATTAAAGAACAGTAGAAAGAGAAGGATTTATTTTCTTTTAAGTGGGACTAATGGAGTTTGCATGCACGGTACCACATAATATTCTATCAGGTTCTCTCTGAAGTAAAAGTGAAGAAATTTATTCAAATAGGAAAATAGAACACTGTATATGTGCAAGCCAAAACCAGGAAAGATATATCCAAAAACCATGGTATAACTCCTGTTACACTTGGCTGTTGGGACAAAGTTGGGAAGAAAGAATTATCAACCCTCCCAATATACACATCTGGAAACTAGAGTTTTTGCAAAACTTTTACATTCGCGATTTTTAAAAAAATTTTCTGAGACACATCACTTATGCCTCAACCTTCTTGAGAGTGTCACCTTTTCCTAAAGACTCTGGGTCTTTGCTATAAACAGTACCATGGAAACATGGTTGCCGTGTTGAGTTGTGAAAGAAATGGGACCACAGAAGAAAGTCCAGAACTCATTTCTTTGACAAAGTTTCCTGCTTTGTGATTATTTTCATCCTTAACATAAGGTATAGTGCCTGACTTACCTGGGTCTAGAAACCCACCTGGTTTTAGCTACACCAAGCCTAGCCATGTGCATTCCAGAACTTATAAAAAAATACCAGCCAACTTTACTGTAATCATGTATTACTTCCAGTAATTTTTCCATGGAGACCATTGGGTCTTCTATGTATACAATCATGTCATCTGAGAATAGAGAGAGTTCCACCTCTTTTCCTATTCGAATGCCCTTTCTTTTTTCCTCTTTTCTGATTTCATTGGCAAAGACTTCCAGTACTATATATTTTTTTTTTTTGAAGAGGTTTTCGCTATAGGGCGCATGTGCTCGCCAGACAGACAGAGAGAGACAGAGAGACAGAAAGCGAGAAATCACTCCCCAGGGGGGATGACCATGCCGCAATCCCTTCTCCTCCATTCTCCTCTCAGGATCTTGGGCACGCACGCACACGCGCCTGGCATGAGTTTTAAGCCACCAGGTCCAGGACGCAAACCACGGTTGACTACGTGGGAGTCCAGAGACATAGCCATTACGCTAACTGCTGGTCCCTCCAGTACTATATTAAAAAGGAGTGGAGAAACTGGGCATCCTTGTCTTGTTCCTGTGTTTAGTGGAAAAGCTTTCAGCTTTGCTCCATTGAGGATCATAAAAGTGTATTACATTTATGGTTTTGCGTATGTTGAACCAAACTTGCATTCCTGGAATAAAGCCTACCTGATCATTGTGTATGATCTTTTTTATAAGTTGTTGAATACAATTTGCTAGTATTTTGTTGAGAATCTTTGCATCTATGTTCATCAGAGATATTGGTCTATAGTTTTCCTTCCTTGTCCTGTTCTTATCTGTTTTAAGGATGAGAGTCATAGAGGCTTCATAGAATGAATTAAGGAGAGATTCATCCTTTTGGATCTTTAGAAATAACTTGGGCAGAACAAGGGTTAACTCTTCTTAGAAAGTTTTATAGAATTCAGAGGTGAATCCATCAGGGCCAGGGCTTTTCTTTGTTGGGAGGTTATTTATTACTGATTCAATCTCCTGGCTTGTTATGGGTCTATTCAGACTTTCTATATCCTCCTGGCTCATTCTTGGTAGATTATATTTGTCCAGGAATTGTCCATCTCATCCAGATTGTCTTGTTTCTTCGCAAATAGATGTTCAAAATATCCTCTAATGATGTTTTGAATTTCTACTATGTCTGTTGTTATATTACCAGCTTCACTGCAGATTTGATTCACTTGGTTCCTTTCTCTCTTCTTCTTAATAAGTCTCGCTAGTGGTGTATCGATTTTGTTTATCCTTTCAAAGAACCAGCTTTTACTTTCATTTATTTTCTGTATAGTACATTTATTTTCTATTTCATTTATTTCTGCTCGGATCTTTATTATTTCCTTTCTCCTGGAGTTTTTTGGATTTTTTTGCTGTTGTTTTTCCAATTCTCTGAGGCATGATGTTAGGTGATCCATTAGCCTTCTTTCCATCTTCCTCTTATGTGCACTAATTGCTATGAATTTCCCTCTTATGGCTGCTTTAGCAGAGTCCCAAAGATTATGGAAACTCATGTCCTCATTGTCATTGGCTTCCATGAATCTTTTGATTTAAATATTTAGTTCTTGGGTAGTAGTGGAGTCATTCAGGAGTAGGTTATTTAGTTTCCATGTATTTAGGTGTTTTTGAGGATTTCTCTTGAAATTAAAATCAAGTTTAATTCCATCATGGTCAGAGGAGATGATAGATATAGTTTCTATGCCTCTGAATTGGTAGAGACTTGCTTTGTGCCCTATGAAATAGTCCATCTTAGAAAACGCTCCATGTCGGGGTGAGAAAAAACTGTATTTCATGGTTTTTGGATGGAAAGTTATATAGATGTCTGTTAAGTCCATTTGATTTATGGTATCATTTAGATCCTTGATCTCTTTACATATTTTTTGCCTAGATGATCTGTACAGAGGGGAAAGTGCAGTGTTGATATCTCCAACAATTAGTGTTGCAGTCTATCTCCCCTTTTACATCTAACAGTCTTTACTTCACATATTTGGGTGCTCCTGTGTTAGGTGCATAAATATTTATAAGCGTTATATCTTCTTGATCTATAGAGCATTTTATTATGTACAGTGCCCATCTTTGTCTCTTCAAACAGTTTTTGTTTTAAACCCTATTTTGTCAGAAATTAGTTATCACAACTCCAGCTCTTTTTTGGGTCCCATTTGCATGGAAAACCTTTCCCAACCCTTCACTTTCAGTTTATGTATGTCTTTCTCCATGAGGTGGGTTTCCTGTAGGCAACAGATAGAGGGTTTCTGTTGTTTTATCCATTTAGCCAGTCTGTATCTCTTGATTGGAGAATTTAATCCATTAACGTTCAATGTTATTATTGATGTTACAGGACTGAGATAGAACTGAAAAAAGTTATTCCATTTACCATAGCCACCAAAAGTATACAATATTAGGAATACATCTAACCAAAGAAGTTAAAGACCTCCACAACAAAAACTATGAGAAGCTAAAAAAAGAAATTGAAGATGACACAAAACAGTGAAAGGAGATCCCATGTTCATGGATTGGAAGAATTAATATAATCAAAATGGCAATTCTACCCACGTTAATCTACGTATTTAATGCAATGCCAGTCAAACTACCAGACACATTCTTCACAGATCTAGAAAAGACAATCATAAAATTCAACTGAAATCATGAAAGACCTCATATTGCCAAAGAAACTCTACACAAGAAGAGTGGAAATGGGCTGCATCTCACTCCCTGACCCAAAAATATACTACAAAACCATGGTAATCAAAACAGCATGGTACTGGCACAGAAACAAACACATGGACCAATGAAACAGAATAGAGTCCCCAGAAATAAATTTCCAAACATACTGTAAACTGATTTTTGACAGGGCGTATCAGTCAATTCAGTAGGAAAAGAAAACCTTTTCAGCAAATGGTGCTGGAAAAACTGGATTTCCACTTGCAGAAAGATGAATATGAACCCCTACCTCTCTCACCTTTGACGAAAATCAAGTCAAGGTGGAACAAGGATCTATATCTAAGACTGCAAACTATAAAGCTGCTCCTGGAAAACACTGGGGAAACTCTGGGAGACATTGGTGTAGG